ATAAGCTTGATTTCTGCCCCAAAGATGTCTGTTTTTTATGGAATTATTATAGCTTTTTGTATTTTCTTGTGTCCCTCACATTGCCCCACAGTAATACACATATGGGCAGATCTCAGGGCATGAGGAGTCAAAGGCTCTGTAAACAAGTACACCCTAATGCCCCTTACTTTCCCCATTTTACTCAGTTTATACTGGTTTTGGACCATATTTGTGAGCAGTTCTGGAATGGTAAGAGATTTCTTTCGGAATCATTTGAAGGTCACACCCTTTCCCATGAAGAACAATATTATACTAGCAAACTGTATGGAAAAATATTGAATGTTTTTGTTGTTCCTAGGCAATCAAGAGCAAGCTCAAACAAGCAGCCACAGGCTTCTGATTTGCCGAAGTAATTTCATTCTGGTACTTTTTTTTTTTAGTAATGTTCTTTGAAAAAAAGTTCTAAACCTGTTCTGTAATGGCTGGACTTTAACTTTCTCTGCTCTGGTCTAACTCCTTTCAATTGCTTGAAGAATCTTTTGTGGTTGATCATGTTTGGTCTAGGTTAGACTTTCCCTCTCAAATGTCCACAGTTACAAACATTTTGATGTATATAAGCTGTGCTTTCTATAATGAAGCCTTAAAGGAAAATAAAATGAAGCTTTTTTTTTTGCTCAAAAACAACCTATTATTACTTTTAATTTCTCCTTCCAATGTTGTACATTTCAGATCTTCAAAACCTCTGCAAGCAAAACTAAATAGCTTGCATTTGGTTTTAGTGAAGTTTCTCACTAAGTGATACAACACCAGAACTACAAACACACATCCTTAGCTATGTTAGTTTAAATGATTTAAAGAAAAGGAACAAGATAGAGTTTATTTAGTTTTTTCCCCGTAAATATTAATTTTAAATTAACAAAAAGCTTGCTAAGTATAATCCTTTTTTTGTGCACTATAGTGTTTAAAATAGTATAAAGGAAGACAAAAATCTTATTTCAGTCTATGGAACTAAGTTCATAAACTCTAGACATGACCTAAATTACACTTTATTTTTGTAACTTTTTTTCTTCTTAAGGCTATTTAGAGACACTTTGTATTTTTTGTCTCTCAAAAGAAACTTGTTACGAGTTAACTTAGATATTTCTGAGAAAAGCTCTGAAGACAATATGTCAAACGTGGCTGCAGTCAGCTAAAAACTACTATAATGAGAAAAACCTACCAAAATGATTATAGTTAGCATTCTAAAACTGGCCAAAATCAGTAAGTTCTTCTGCAGAGAATGTAACAACAGTGAGGAAGGGGGTAACAAACTTCTGAATCCAGGGAAATAGTCATTAGGTCCAGCAGCTGTTATTAGAGGCTCAGCTCTAGAATAACAGAATTGGTCTCAAACTGATAATAAGGCACTGACCAAAGTCATTCCCCTTTTCTGCACATATTCAAAGTTGGGATGGTGGCCAAATTGTTACCTTAAGTTTAGTGTTCATTTATACAGATTGTTTTAATTACAGCCCTCTCTAATGTTAATCTGTCCACCTTTGACACAAGCCATTTTTAGGGGAAAGGGGACAGGATGGGGGGAAGAGGGGAAGGACAGAAAGAGAATACTTAAATAATAACAAAATGTTTAAAAGTTGAACTTGTAGGGAGCATAAACAACTCACTGATGTAATTTAGTACCAGTTCTAGTGTCTTGAAGCTCAGAGCAGGCAGTATACTAAGATGACTGTGAAAAAAATTAGGACTACCAATGCTTGCGAGTAAAAATACAAAAAAGAGGGAGGATGAAGAAAAATGCCACTGACAGAGCCAGAAAAACATCACTATAATTTACCTTGATTTAGAACAGATTTGCTAAAGTTCCAGAAAAGGTACAGCCCAATTTGCCTTTTACCACTAGAGACCCAACCTCTCTAAGTGCCCTGTGATTACTTCTTTTATAAAGGAAAGCATGGTGACAATGACATTGCTGGGCCTCAATAACAGAAGATGACGACAGTCTTCAAAAAGCCTAACTGCAAATGTAAATACTTAAGATGTGGCAAGAAAACACGTTAGATAAAATTGGCTTCAGTGAACAAACAGAAAATGATATAACCCTGTTATAGGTAATAAAATTAACAAAGAAACACAAAACAGTAATTTTGTGCGAGTGTTCCACTATCTATCTGTACTACCATTGGTAAAAATTCTTTTATGATGCAACTGAGCCTAGATGGAAAGTTAATAAATGACCAATTCTGTAAAAAGACAACATGAGACAGTAACACAAAAGGCAGAATTAGGTGAGGTATGGAGCTGCCTTGCCAGGACCGCAACCTACACTTAAAACAGCTCAGTTAGAGGCCAAACTTTTTGCATTTCAAATTTTTTCTGTAGTCCCAGCCAGAGATGCAACTAGAAGGCTTTGTGATCTGGGAAAATCCTGCTTAGAGCTGGGGAGAGAATGTGCCCTTGAGCACTGAAGGGGAAGAAGTACTGAGAGCAGGGGCAGCAGGAGTCTTACCTGCTCTAGGGACACAAAAAAGCCTCATGCTAACTCCTGTTGCCACTGCACTGCACTGCCTGTCCTCCCCAGTTGTTGCTGCTACAACATCAGCACAATGCCTGTGCACCCAACTACTGCTATAACAGAGCAGCACTGTAGGGCTGCTGCTCCTCCTAGTGCTCCATTTGCACCCCTCATGTTACACTAGTGGTCCCTGCTCTATAGAATATTTGAAAAGTTCCTTGTAAGGACAGAATCAAAGCTGAGTATTAAACTTATGACTTGCGCTGAACCCAACACCCACGGGACAATGTTTCTATAGCATTTTTCATAAGACTGGTTTGTAAAATGAAAAACGGGCCTGAAAAGATCACCTAAATTAACACAAACTGCATAAATCCCTCTTTATAAAATAAACTGTGACTAATTTTTGTTCTTTAACAACACTGCAATGAAATTAATATTTGATTAAGCCAACTGAAGTTGTAAAGCACCAAGTTAGAAAGTAATGCTAAATTAGCTGTCAGCATTCAAAACATTATAGCAAGAGATATATTTAATGCACTTCTATTGCATCTGCACCAGCTAGTTACGTAAATTACAAATTCTGCTTCTTTTGTTTAAAACTAGCATTCATGAAATTTTAATTAAAAAATGTGGGTACGATGAAATACAGTGCTAAATGTGACCTGTGAAGTTAACAGCTACTGAAAGTAAGAAAAAAAATTAGAGCCATAATATTGGACGGTACACCAAAATGAAACAGCCTGCTGGCTAATATATTATTCTTGTCTCTTCAATAAGGTATATTACTGTCATCTTTCACAGCTGATTTGAGTTATCTAATTCTATTTAAGATTATAGGGGCAGTTTCACTGGCAAGGAAAAAAGTCACAACTTTTCCCTGACAAACATCTACCTTAAAAGATGTAACATATCATTGGTTGTGTCACCCTAAAGTAGTATTTGGCTAATATAAGATGAAAAAGATTGGAGTATCAAACTGTTGGTAATAAAAAAATATCTATAGTGCTTTCAGTTTCATCACATTTCTTATTCTTGCTAAATATTTTGGAAGCTTTTTCTAGAACAAAGCTCTCCCATGAAAAATCTGAAACTGGAAATAAAGGGATGACAATTATGTAGGCTAAGGGTAGCGAGTTTGTCAAGTGATTACTACCGATTATAACTCAGCATTGCTTTCCTCCTCATTCTCGTCCCATAAAAACCATGAAACAGCTGGAAAAATGCAAACAATAAAAATAATACCTTCTAACCTGACTACATCTTTAGCAAAACTGCGTGATGTCAGGTTGTGGCTCTCAGTTGCATGTTTCTGCTCATTAATAGAACAAATATGGTTAGTCTGCAATGTATCTACATTAGCTTATTAAAAAATTCAAAATCCACAGGTTTTCCATCTACAATGCTTAAAAAAAAGTACACACATTTTGTTAAAAACACTTACTTTGAGAAGAAACACATTAAGTAATATAAAAAATGAAAAACAAAATCTAAAGTTGTGCAAACTCTATTACAGTAATACTGCTGACTATGAAGATGTGTTACTAAACACCCAACATGGGTTAACTTGGGAGATGTGTAAAGAGTGATTCAGCACAAACAAGCTCCCTTTCTAAAATACACCACTTCAGGATCAGAACTGATTGTTCACTCTCCACAAAAAAAAAAAGGTTTGTGAGGGGACATTAATTCAAAGGGTGCTTTTAACTGTACCATAAGAGGACAGAATTATGCATCTGCATAACTTCTTTATAGCATGAGCAGATTTCACAAAGTAACACTCAGAAAGGGACCCTAACCCTTTTCCTTACCCCATTCTGACCTGCACAGGAAGATTCTCTGTCTGTGAGTTTTGTTTCTCAATAGGGCCAGCAACCTTATCCTCTGCCTTAAAAATCACAAACTAATGATTTCCTAACAAAAACATGAAACTGATACTGGGAATATTAATGTATCCCCCTGATTTAGTAAATTAAGTGCACATTTTTAAACTGAATAATAACACTTTAAGTCTTTATTGGGTTTCAGATAACTTATTACTATAAACTGATGGAGAGTTCTAAAAGAAGTCTATGGTTGCATTTGTAAGCTTATTTACTGCTACTGAATCAGAATGTCAATGGAATATCTACTTTTTCATGCCTTTTTAATCCTGGTTCAAGATATTTTGGGCAAAACTGGAATTACTTCCTTATTTATAAAGATTAATTTTCTGAAGATTAAATAAAACTTTGCATAAATTAAACTACAATGTATTGACTATGAAGAAACCAAAATAAGTAACTAAATTTAATGAAGACATGTACCTGGAATGTGGCTCCTATTTGTGATCTTAACTGTTTTTGGAGGAGTACATTTTGCAACAAAGGAAGTTTTGATAATCCAGTCCATACTACTTTTATTTCCTAGATTGAATTCCTCTCTCTTTAATTAGATTATTATTGTTTTATGACCTTTTCTAAAGATCGGAAG